AGCCCTGCCAGCAATCCGTACCCGAAGACTGTACGGATCGCTCCCACGGAACCGAGCATACCTACTCACACAACTACGGACGGGTCACGCGTGGTTAGCGACGTACGAGAAACAACATGGGTTCCGGGACGATAACAGATGCGTCTGTGGAGCTCGTGAGACGGTAGTCCACGTACTGGTGGACTGCCCGAAACTCAGCGACCGGCGACAACAACTACGGAGGAAGATTAGACCTGCATTTAGCAGCATTTCAAGCATGCTAGGAGGGCAACAAAAGAAGAAAGGTAAGGCACAAGACGCTGAACAAGACCACGGCACCCTCGGGGTTATACTGGATTTTGCAGAAGCGTCCCAGAGGTTTCGAAGTCTCGCGCCACGGGGGCCGCAGAACAAAACACTAGGCGACTAGGCCAACATAGGCCTCGATGAGGCTCCAAATTCGTTAGAAAACTAGTGGTTTAATGCATATAAGGAATATAAAGATAGGTAGATAGGGAGATCCTGCATATCGCTTTAAACTGCGAGGGGTCAGAGTATGAATACACACACACACACACACGCACACACACACAGTATCAATACCAAATACATCCCTATAGATTCTATTTTCGACTTTCCTCCCCTCCCTAGGTTCATGGACCTTTCTACCACGGAGAATCCTTATATTCTGTATGTGAAGTCGACATAAACCACATACACGGTGGAGTAGCATGTCTTCGTTCTTTCTTTCTACACTTCATGCGAGGCTTTCTGGGCCATTTTCTGGTGGCTTTGATGAAAAAAGTGAGTTTTGTTTACTTGAAAAGACCCCCTGAATATGGGCCTCAACACCCTGTTCAACGCGCTAGCAACGCCAAGGTCGGGTGGATGTCATGGAACTCACGACATTCGTTGAATCTGGTTGGTGCTTATCCGAGCGGTCCCTAGTTATAAACCCAATATTTGGCCGAGCGGTGAATTTAAACATACAAAATGTAGCGAAGGGTTCCAATCGTCCGATTGTCATTGCGACTAATCAAGAAGACATACCGATATTGCTTTTTCTAGAACAATTTCTCAAGATGGACCTGATTACCTATCAACATCTGATTAATAACCCCGCTTTTCTCCCATATGACGTTCTTGCTATAATCTGTGGGGAGCTGGATACGCAAAGAGACTGCGAAACTTGGCACAGCTGTGTTGAAGCAGGCGGTTCTCTTGAATCTGCTGCTCTTCAGTGTGTCAGCTTCACTGATTTCGAGGATTTTATCTTCAATGTGCGAAACCCCAGCCAGGAAATTGCTCTCAAACTATTTGATGTCTTACATAAACGGCACAACCAAAGCGATAGAAATAATATCCTAGGTGATCAGTTTTGCAGTACGGCAAAAAGATGGCTCATACTTGCCGTGAAATACAAATTCAGGCGACTCAGCGAAGCGATAGTCCAGATTCATGGCATGAAAACATTATCAATTAAGGAAGCCATGGTCAAAGCAGCTGTTGTTGACTGGGATGATCTTTTCTGCGAATGGCTTCTACGTGAGGAAAACCGTCTTTGCTATGAGAGAGATCGTTACCTATTTGCGCAATATCTCGCCCGGTCGCTACGAGACAATCCGTTCTTGAAAATGTTCTATATCATAAAGATTTCAAAAGTTATTCGGACCAATTCCGCACTGTTAAGTCGATGCCGCCGCATGTCAGCGGTTAACGATATCATCAGGCAGATGCAGGAAACAAGGGCCAATGACGAAAGTGCCAACATCATGTCGTTTGGAAGAGCCCTTATGGATGTAAGAGTCATCCTTCCTTCATAATGAACCTACTGATAACACTCTATTAGCAACTTAGAGCCGGCTTTAGAGATCTGCAGCGCATGAACCAAAGAAGATCCTGAAAATCTTGGAGTATCATCTTTCATAGTGAAAGAGCAGGCCAGGGCCGCTACCCACGAGGACAATATATCACAAGCACAGGTCTCCAGAAAGAACTTAACAACGTTGAAATTTACACGATTTCAAACAGCCACCACAAAAGCCTTGTCAGATGATATAGGAAGATATACTAAAAAAATGAATAATACTCCCAGCAAAACATATCCAACAGCTGTATAAAGATTATCGTAGGAAGAAGTGAGTGTGTTGGTTTAATTCTAGATTAAGTATAGAAGATTAACTAAATATCGTTACTCCCTTGGGACGTATGAACTTCTCCCCCAGCACTGCTCTTCCTCGGGCTGCAGACTTTAATTCGCCGGAATAGCGAATTAAAAGGGCACCAAGTCCATAGTGGTAGCAATACCCCAACGATAAGCTAGGCCACGTTAGTGGAATGATGAGGGTGTGGTTATACAGGGCAAGACTGTCTTACCTTTCCGAACACCATGAGAAGTGTGAAAACGACGCCCCTCCATATTCGTTTACCCGTCCAGAGCTGCACAAAAGGAATGGCAAACCCGATACTCGCGAAGAATAGTGGCTCCATGAGATACTTTTGAATGTCCATGAGGTATCTCTCGAAAGTGTGCACAAACGTAGGACTCTTATCTGCGAAGCGCTCTCCCTCTTCACGGCTCAAAACGACAAAGGGTCCCTCTGGATGCTTGCTCGGTATGTAAGTAAGAAATTTCCCGGCTAAAAATGCACCAAAGAGAACTGATGTGCCAGTGTATGCTGCAATGCTTATAAATGCAGACAGAGATAGGATCATCAATATAATATTAGATCTATGATCATATCGTGCAAAGTAATTCTCAATATACCGCCGGAAGATCGGGGCGAAAAAGAACTTTGTCACAATTGGCGTGGCGGTTGCCATCGCAATTGATGTCACTATTGGACGTCCAATAAGCCAGCCGAGATTCACATCGTTGCCGCCTTCGAGCTGACCTAATTTCACTATGACGCTGCTTTAAGTCAGTTGCCTGCTGGGATAGTTTTGACCACGGATAAGTGGTAAACTGACCTAGCCATAACCAGCCCGACAACGTCGTCGATAACAGCTGCGCTAACCAAAACGGAGCCAACCCGTGTCTGGGCGAGATCTACAGTACCGGAAGCTGAAGAAATGACCGCAAACGTCGTGCCTACGTATTTGGAGTAAGTAC